CAGGAGGAAGTTGCAGGGAGGAGGAAGAGGTGGGATAACTCTCAGGGGTAGGATAACAGGAGAGTGCCAAGTGTGGGTGAACAAGGGCTGCCTGCTGAGGGCAATTCTGAGGGTCATATAGCCTGGCTGCTGAGGGCGATTCTGAGGGTCATGTAGCCTGGCTGCTGAGGGCGATTCTGAGGGTCATGTAGCCTGGCTGCTGAGGGCAATTCTGAGGTTTCTAGCCTGGCTGAAAAGTATTATGTAACCAGAAAAGTGGAGTTGGGAAGGCCATGACTGAGAGAAGATGCTAAATGAAATCTGAGTGGTCTGTGTTCTAGGAGAATGTCTGTGTGGATGTGCCCATAACACCCAGAGGCAGGACTCTGAAGATTAGGAGAGATGCTAAGATTAGTAGAGCTGAGCTGAGGAGGAAAAGATAGAGTCAGCAAGCAGAAATGAGCACAGGGCTGGGTGGAAGTTTGTGTTTTCCAGGATCTGGAACCTGTTGCTTCCTGTTAGTCACAATCCTGGTGACTGTTCACTTTCAAGTCATCAACATGGGAAGGAGAAGGCATTTTAAAGATAGTCCCTAAACATTGAGTGTGTGACTGTAGTTATGTTAAGATGGGGTGGGGAGGACAAGAGGGTCACAAGTTTCACACCATCCTGGACAGCAGAGTGAAGCTATCCTAAGCAGCAACATCCTAGGTGGCTGAGACTCTAAAAATTCCAGGTCAAAGAAGCAGAGGAAAATGAACATGCAGACACCATTAATCCCATGCCAAGTGACTCAGAGCTAGAAGATGAAGACTAGAAAGTGTCAGGTGATTGGAAGGCTGCTGGTAAATCCTAATGAGACAGGTACTACTCTGAGATGAATGGGAAGGATGAATGAAATTCCCTGGGGGTTGACGTGGTGACAGGATGGATCAGTTACAATGTGTGTTACAGTCTTCTAGTTGTAGTCTTCTCGGGAGACCGTGTCATGTACTCCAGAAGGTGTTGTGGGTAAAAATGATGGTTTGAAGGAACACAACAGAGTGTCACTCTGATGGTGACATCAGGGTTTTCAGGAAAGAGGAAGAAAGAATTCAGTTGAGCAGGCCAGGTGCAGAAGCTTGCATTTGAACTCTTGGTCTCTTGCTTTTGGTCAGTTACCTTCAGGGTCCTTTACCTTCTTGAAACTTCAGCTTATATGTAAATAAGAGATGCCAGTTCTTCCTGGTAGTTGGAAATTCTAAAGTGCTGTGAACACAGAGCAGAGCTTTCTAATGGGAAGCCTTGGAAACCAGCTGGATGAGCAGAGTTTACTAAAGGAACGTGGAAGAGACAGCATGCTGAGCATAGGGGAAATGGGGGAGACAGCAGGGTGAGCAGGGGTAACCTGGGGGATCTGGTGGGGTGAGGTGAATCTATGAAGGAATGGCTTAGTTGTTTGAGACTCAAACAGGCTCAACATTACAGCAGCTACAGAAGAGAAAACAAATGGCTATGGCTGCCCAGTATTGTTAGAGCTGGGACGTAAGCCCTACTCCACTGAACCCAGACCTGCATCTTTACCATGAGACTAGAACCATCTTATCATTTTGGAGTGACTGCAGAGACAGAAGTAATCGCATCTCACCAGAGTGTTCCAGAGTGCCCTCATGCACCCCAGCTGTTCATGTTCTGAAAAAGACCCCAAGAAGGGGAAGTCACTGGGATGGACTGTCACTGGCACCTCTTGGCTCCCATTATGTCTTCTCTTCTGTTCTCAGGTTGCTGTGGGCTGGAATAGATGCTTTCGGATCATGGTCTGTAGTAGTGATTGTATCACCTAGTCAGGACCTTTCTCCATGAGAAAGCATGTGCTCTCCAAGAACGGGGCAGCCTTGTGCTGGGGCTGCTGGACACATATGTCTTCAGTGTGTTCTCTCTGTATTGATTGATGATTGATTGATTGATTGATTGATTGATTGATTGATTGATTGATTGATTGATTGATTTTGGAGACAGAATCTTGCTATGTAGCCTGGCTGGCCTTGAATTCAAAGCAGTCCTCCTGCCTCAGAATCCTGAATTGAATTATAGATTTGAGGCATGTGATGGTTTGAATAAGATGTCCTGCATAGCCTTGGACCTTGGAGTACTTGGTCCCCAGTTAGTAGCACTATCTGGGTATGGCCTTGTTGGAGGAGGTATGGCAAAGGGGCAGCTATGAAAGTGTAAACCATTTCCATTTCACTCTCTCTGCCTCATACTTGAGGTTTAAAATTAAGTCCTTGGTTTCTTCTATTCATTGCCTTGGTCACAGTGTTTTATTCCATCGATAGAAAAGTAGCCTAAGCCACCATGCTTAGGTTAGGTGTGGCTTTTGAGGGACAGACAGTGCCCTAGCTTATTAGATCCCAGTTTCAGCCAGGCATGGTGGCATGCAGTTCTAGTCTCAACACAGAGCCAGATGGCAAGTTTGAAGCCAATGTGGTCTACAGAGTTCTAAGCTAGTCAGGGCTACCTAGTAAGACACTGTCTCAATACACAGAAAGAAGAAGTGAGGCAGAGGGTCAGACAGACAGACACTAAAGTTCTTGTGCCTTGATGAGCTGGCTCTTCAGGAGCCCAGGCATCTTTGCGGTGTGACAGACTTGCAGGTTGTTTTGTGACTCGCAGAGCTTCTTTGCCTCTACAGATCCCCATCCCACACAAGCTCCTGTCCCTTCTGTCTGCCCACATAGCCTCCCCCTAGCATCTGTGTGGGGTTGGCATCTGCTCCCCTTTCTTCACTGATGGCATGAATGAGTGGCTGTCTGAAGGCCTTCATTGTCAGTTCCCCCAGTAAGCGGCCAGAACCTTCTCTGACTTGGGTTTTGAGTCCTACCAGTCCAGTGAGCCAAGAAGTCTCCCAGTGCTGGGCTGTGGAGTTCTCCTTCTGTTGCTCCTAACCACCCATGAATGTTATGGGAAGCTGAAGCGGCCCTGCAGCCCTGCAACCCTGCAGCCCTGCAGCCCAGACCCCTTCCTGCACTTTGGGCAGGAGCATTGGACAGTTGGCAGATCCACAGCCTCTCCAAGGAAAGCATTAGTAACTGAAACTTCCACTAGATGCATGTGCTGTCTTCTCTGTAGCCTCAACATATGGATACCAGGCCATTTTGTCCTGGGCACTCATTGTCATAGTGGCTGTTTGCAGCTGTGAAGTCATGACTTTCTCAGGCCTCAGTTACACTGAATAAAGCTCACTCTCTCACTTGCTCCCCTGTTTTTTCCACCTGGAGAACTCATCCAAGTTGTTCAGGACCTGCCCTTTAGGGTATAGTATTAATGTGTGACATCTGTAAACGTCCAGAATGGTCAGATGGTAGGGGAAGGAGGCACTGAAGATCATACTTCTGGGTTCCCGTGGATTAGTAATCAGAGCCTGTAATGAGTTGGCTGCCCTGCCTCTGCCCTGCAGACCTGCCCAGAGTTGACCAGTGCAGGAGCCTGGAGTGAGCTGATTGTTGGGGCCTGCAGAGGCTTTCTCAGAAGAACTAGCCCTGTGAGACCCTGGCATCACCTTGTGGAGACAGTTTCAGCACCTCATGTATGTGACACGCTGGTCATCTGCACCCTTCTCCCCAGCTGCCCAGTGTTGTTCATTGAACCTCCTTAAAGGCCTTGCAGCTGCCAGTGTATAAGTGTGAAGTGGGGGCTGCACTCTGCTGCACCCAAGGAGCAGGTGTCATCACCAAATGTGGGGCCTGTTGTGGCAGTAAAGGGCTTTTTAAGCATCATGCAGTCCAACCTGCAGAGGCTCAGCAGTCTGGCCACACCACCGGAGAGGGCCAGTTCTTCCTCCTGGGTGAACTCTGCCCAACCACCCTGGGCAAGGCACACCATGCCTGGGGCCACAAATTACTCATCTGTGTAAACACTGGAACCACACATCCTGGTCTGTGGTGCTCCAGCCTCATGAACAGTTTCTGGGCTGTTTGGGCAGATCAGGGAATTCTTTGATTCCACACATGTAGAAGACTAGATGTCGCTTCCATGCATTAGCTTTGGAATGTGATTTCCTGCTGGGTGTGGTGTTGCCTAAGCTGATGGCACAAGTGAAAATCTGTAATAGGACTGAGTTCCCACAGGGTGTCCCGGGGTGGCACATGGACTTGGCCAATTATTTACAGTACTTCACAGCAGAAGCTTTTGAGAGTATAGTAGTATTTGGCCTCAGGAACTAGCAGTGTCAGATTCCTAGGGTGTAAGGGAGGTCTCCAGAGAATAGCAGCTGTCTCCTGGCTTGACAAACTAGACTGTTTCCTTTTCCAGTGGATCAGCTAAGGTTAAACTTAAACAAATACGAGCAGCTGGGAGGCTTTGGCAAGAGTGAGGCTCACACATTCGCCAAAAAAAAAAAAAAAAAAAAAAAAGTTTGTTCCTGCGGAAGGACGAGGCGTGGATGTGGATCTGAGTGGCCCTGAGGAGAAAGGAAGCAGCTACTTCCCCTGCCGTTTTGTTTTGCACTTTCAGTTAAGGAATTCCAGAAGTTGCAGGTTGTGATCATGACCTCCCTTTTCCCCTGTAGCCAGCCACTTGCCAGAGGGAGAGAGGGCGGGCGGCTCTAAAAAACAGTGGCCTTTATGGAAATGTATCCAGTGTCCTAGGAGTTACTCTCGCTGGCCTTGTCTTGTTCCCTGTCCCTCATTCTGTCCTTACTCTGTCCTTTCGCGTGTCCTTTGTGTCTGCAGTTAGCGCTTCTCCTGACCTTATATAGCAAGGTCTGGTTGCTAACGTTAACAGAGGTCTAACAAGGGGATGGCTGCCAGGCAGCGTTTCAGGCCAGCGTTTGGAATTTCATAAACGCTCTGACTGTGGGTACAAATTGAACATGAACAATATGAAACTGTTTTCCTCCTTCCCCTCTTCTGTTCTCTCCCTCCCCTCAGCCAACCCAACCTCTTTCTTTCTCCCTGTTGTGAACCTCTGCCATCACACGCCGCATAGGAACTCTGTTGATTTTTGCCACGTTTAATTTTTTATTTCTCTTTGTCCACTCCAAGACCACAGGCGGAGCAGCATCAGCCGGAGCCAGGACTCTGTGGAGGGGCAGGACGGGCAGGTCCCGGAGCAGTTCTCAGGTCTCCTCCACGGCTCCTCCCCAGTGTGTGAGGTGGGGCAGGACCCTTTCCAGCTGCTTACTGCCCCCAGCCAGAACCACCCAGAGTCCCCCCAGCAGGACGCCTACCACGAGGCCAGCATGCAGCTAGAAGAGCCGGGTGTGCAAGGCACTGGAAATACACAGCCCAGTGTCCTGGACCAAAGCAAGCGAGTGGGCTTCCCAGCAGGCCTGACTGCCCCAGCCAGTGGAGCACACCTCCAAACTTTGACTCACACAGTACCTCTGCACCCTGCTGGTGCTGAGGAGGACGACGACAAGAGCATAGCCAGAAGCCGGGCCCCTCCCACCAGCAAGCCCAAAGCTGAGCTCAAACTCAGCCGCAGTTTGTCTAAGTCTGACTCTGACCTCCTGACCTGCTCCCCCACGGAGGACACTACGATGGGGAGTCGCAGCGAGTCTCTGTCCAACTGCAGCATCGGGAAGAAGAGGCTGGAGAAGTCACCTTCATTTGCCTCTGAGTGGGATGAGGTAAGGCTGTTGTGATGTCACAGAGAATTTGGGCTGGGTGGCCAGGCTGTAGCCCACTCCAGCTCCCCATGTGCTGGTTTCTGGGACCAGGATCTGATGATAGTTAACTATGGCAAGCTCCAAGAAGTCCAGGTCCCGGAGGATGGGTCCCTGAATAGTTAAACCTGAGGGTGGAGGCCCAGAAGGGCAGGGCAGGGCTAAGGCAGGGACAGTTCCTAGAAATGACATGTGTTTGGAAACATTTGGAGCCCATCTGCCTGCCTCATTCTGAAGTTACTTCAGAAGAGCCATGGCATCTCCTTCGAGTCCTTGGAAAGGCAGAGGGAAGAGCAGGCTTAGCAGTGGCAGCAGGTGGGGGTGGGGGGATGGAAAGAAGCTTCCAAAAGAGGTTCTAGGGGAGGGGTGTTCTATTCTGGGTTCCTCCTGGTTATTCTTGCCGTGTTCTTGAGACCCAGAAGCTGTCCCCCAGCAGATGTGTGCAGCCCGTCCCACATTCCCAGTTCCGTTAAACATAGATGGATGAGGAGAAAGCATTTCTGGTGTGAGACCTGGGATCCATTTTAACCACTGTTACTGAACATTTGGAGGTGGAACAGTATTTCCCAGAGACCTTTGGAGTATCCTTCTAGGCAGGAAAACATGTGTCTGAAAGATTCGCAAATACCCTGGGAATGTTAAAGTGCCCGTCTCACAATCTTGCTGGTCCAGAGCTACCTTTGGGGGGGATGCAGCCTGGCTCCCAGGAACAATCTTGGAATGCATTTAGCTCTCTGAAAGGAGAGGGCAGAACAGCTGCCATGTGCCTGAGAACATTCTGTAGCCCTAGTATCCAACCCAGCTTGATAGGGTTGCCACTGCAAAGTTATGTAAAGGAGAGCCCAGCCCATTCCTAGTGTGGGGCAGGGCAGGGCAGGGCAGCTTCATTCCTCCTGCTCCTTATCTCCAGACAAGACCAGTCTTAGGACTGTTGAGACAGACACAGGAATCCCTGTGCAAAAGATTTTTTTTTTTTTTTTGCTTAGCTAAAGCCTTGATGGGCCTGTTCAGAGAGGTGCCAGGCACTAGAGGGAAATTACTGCATAAGGTTGCTCTTGGGTCCCCCAGATTACACTGGAGAATATGTGTGTAAGAAGATGTCCCTTAGAGCAGCATTAGGTTAGCATCACAGTGGGGTGGAGACGTAGTTGAGCAGCAAACATGGTAGCTGGGCATGAGTGTAGGAGAACGCTTCCAGAAAGACCACAGGGAAGTGGAATTAAACTGGAATTGAACAAATAGCTCCTTTCATTCGTGACAGATTGAGGCTAACACAATGAAGAGACAATGTGAACAGATAGTTTGTTGGAGTTGGGAAAGGGGGGCATTGGGTTCCTAGAGTGTGTAAGTATAGATGGGGGCTGGTACAAAGACAGGGAAGAAAGTAGACTTGGAATCAGACAAAGAGGACCAAGCAGAGGTGAGGCAAAAGATGGGAACTGCATGAAGACAGTATCGAAGGACTGTTGAGGTGTTCTAGAAGGCGGCTTGGCTGATTCTTACATTGCTTCGTCTTCATGGCTCCCTCTCTAGGTGTCTTCACCCTAAGATGCCCATACTGCTGGGCAGGCACATTTACACTCCACTTAAATGTGGCATTACCAAGCAGTCTTAGTCTTTTCACTTTGTATTTCCTCCCAGAGAACAAGTCAGATCACCACGGCAGTGCCCAGCCTAAGTGAAGTTGGCCACTTAACACCTATACAAGGTTTTTCTGCTTTATAATGTGATGTTTTTGTGCTAGTACCACCTTTGCAGGCACACACATCACACACATGCGTACATACAGAAGCGCACATGCTTTTTTTCCAAGATGGGGTTCTATTATATGGCATAGGGGATGGCCTCAAATTTAAGATCTGCCTGCCTGCCTGCCATGACCGTTGAGTGTTGGGATCACAGGTGTGAGCCACCACACTGGGCTCTGAACTTCTGCAGCAAGTCTAAAGCACTAGAAACACTGTTGTACTTCACAGGTTTGTTTGTTGGTCTCCTCATGTAGCCCAGGCAGGCCTTGAATTTGCAGGCCTGTGATTGCAGATGTGCACCACCATGCCAGGTGACATTGCTGTATTTTAAATCTGAAAAATGTGAAAGTGCTTGAGCCATTATGAAAGAATTCATACATTTGAGCCCTATTTGCAAAATCAGAGGCATGCTGTGAGTAGTCCAGCAACCATGTGTTGTTCTGGGGATGGACCTACATTGGGTGGTCCTGTGACCAGCCTGTGCATTGCTGGGAACATTTTGTAGTTCTGGGACAATGATTTTTGCAGTATTGGGGAAGGAACCCACGTGCCAGGTGAGTCCTGTACCACTGAGCTACAGCCCCAGCCTCTCAGCATCAACTTTGAGCCATAATTTACCTGTTTTTGTGGATTCTTCTGTGTCTCCTGACTAGTCCTGGAGCCAAGCCTCTGGCGGGTTGTCCTAAATGAGGGCTGTGCTGGCTGTGTCCATCACACCCTAATCAAGGCCTTGAGACTCCTTCTATACACCCTGTGCTTCTGAGTGCTCTGTGGTGAACTCTGGATGCACTGTCTTGGGGAAGTGGCTCTGAAGAAGCTAGGGCTCAGCCAGCTCCTCACAGAAGTCTGGGAGGGAGAGGGAAAGGTCCTGGGCGGCTGTGACCTCTGCACTGATGAAGGTACAGTGAGTCTGGCAGGCGCTTCTAGAACATAATGCAAAGTAGGGACACTGTGGGCCTCTGCAAATCTGGTGGCCATTGCCATCATCTACTCCATGTCCCATGGATCTATGCTCCTGTGTGTCCTCGGGGTTACTGTCCAAGTAGGGACATGTGTTAAGTGCCTGGTTCAGTTCCTGACATGCCCAAGGAGGATTTTAGCAGATTCTAGTACTTGTCACTTCCCGGAACTTAGAAGAAAGAGCACTGAACCTCGACTGTCCGAGAACCTTAGGGAAGGCAGCACTCTTAATGGGTGACCCTCAGATGGTGGTCAAGTGACTGGAAAGCAGTGGAGTTCAAGCCCTTGATATGCCTGTCCTCCCACGTGGCTCGCCACCACAACAAAGAAGGGGGATGTGCACTGGCCAGGTAGAGCCAAGCAGATCTTTGAGAAGCTGTTGATCTTTGAGAAGCTAGTGAACTGCCTTCTCTCAGGAGAGAAGGAGGGTGAGGGGGTTCAGCCCCTTGTATACTGTGACCAGCAGGGCTGGTTGGCTGAGGGCAGAGGCTATGGCTGAGAGCATGCTCAGCTCATGGGTTTGGGGTCATGCTGCTTGCTACTGTGATGCAGCCTGTGGTGAACTGCCCCCAGCAAGATGACTTCTGAGTGCTGGCCTGGTGTAGGTCAGTCTCCAGGGGAACATCCATTAGGGACACTAGCTTTTTCTTGTGTCCTACTAGAGTCTTGCCAACCAAGAAGTAATGGAGTTTGCTTACTAAAGAGCTCTGCCTAAGGGGTCCTCTGATGCCAAACTCCAGGAGCTGTTGTCTGAGCTCTTCAGTCATGTTGGACCATGTTGTCTTGACCCCTGCAGCTCCCTGGAGAGTAAACTGAGATGCTGTGTATGAAGGAAACTTAGGTATCAAGAGGGGAAAACCCGGGCACCTCCAGTGCAGGTAACCTCTATGAATATTTTTGACATAGCCAAATTTGGTTTGTATGTTTACTAATTTATAATTTATTTCTCACCCAATAACTGAGCATTGTAGATACCTTCTCATGACAGGTAGATTTGGAGCTGGAGCTCAGTATCTGCCTTTGTATGTATGTTGCTAGTAATCTATCCCAGGACCCTGTGCAAGCTAGTCCAATGCTCAGCCGTTGGGTTGTCTCAATCCCCTGGGATCTGAAGGCTCAGTGTTGAATTGTGTAGCTACACTAGCGTTGCTGGGCTTCTGAGATGCTGTGCTCACCACATTCCCTCTACCTTTCAAGTCTGTTCCCTTCCCACATCTTTGTTAACCTGCCTATATGCTCTGCACTGACAGTCCCAGGGAAAGCTAGGCTGGCTGAGTCCCTCTAGTAAAGGCCATCATTTCTATGAGGGGCCTTTTCCAGCGGCAGTTCTGTTCATCCAGGTTCTAGTCTCTCCTTTACTCTCCAGCATGGCTTCTCCACTGTGACTTGACACTATCCCTGCAGCCTACCTTCCACCGAAAAGCTTAACACTGGCACCGTTTGTATAAATAAGTGCTGGCTTTTTGTTGTTGTTTGAGCATCTCATTTGGAAGCCCATGCTGGCCTTGAACTCACAGTAGTCCTGCTGCTAGAATGTGCTTGTGAAGTCCTGTATTACAGGTGTGTGCCACCTTGCCCAGCAATAATGCCATTATCAAGTCTCTTCAATGGAATGTGACATCTTTTCTAAGTGGGAACCTTATTTGTATCACTAAGCAAATGTAGATGGCTTTGTGCTGGAACAAAGAGCACAGCTTTGGCAAACTCATTTTTGTTTGCAGTGCTTGAGTGTTCAGGATGCTGAGAGATGGGGGTGGGGGTCGGGGTTTCAGATCTCAAAGCTTTCCCCACTTCCAGCCATAGGGAAGGCTCCAGTGTTCTGCTCTGCCAAGGTGGCAGTATCAGTGGTACCCGAATATCCTAAATAGACTCTCATCCTGTCTCCTGTGCATGGCTACATATGCAGCAACAAAAGCAACTAATGCTAGAATTCAATGTCTGCTCACCATACCATCTATAAACTAACCCTACCATGCCACGAGTCCCAAGGGTACTAAGGGCCCTTAGGTAAAATGACGGAGCCCTTCAACCTATTCACACACCCCTGCATGCATCATACCATCTCCGGATTACCTATGCCTAAGAAAGTGAAACACTGTGTAAATGGCTATTTAGCCCTGTAACATAGACAGTGAGAACAATGGGTGTATGTAGAATATAGGCATCAACTTTTATTTCCCGTAACCTTTCACTATGTAGTTGGCTGAACCTGCAGGTGTGGTCCCCTCAGAAGTAGATGCTGACTGTGTGGACAAA